TAATCCATTTAATATGCTATTGGATTTGACTTGCTAATATTTTATTGAGGCTATTTAATTTAATTCATAAGGGTATTGACCTATAATTTCTTGTGTTGTCAATATCTGGCTTTGTTATCTGAGTAAAACTGGCCTCATGAAATGAGTTTTAAAATAAAAAATACTAGATGGTTTAAAAAGGACTTTTGTTTTATTTATTTAGTTTATCTTTGCAGTACTGGGGTTTGAACTCAGGGTCTAAACCTTGAGCCACTCCACCAGCCCTTTTGTAAGATAAGTATTTTCAAGATAGGGTCTCACAAACTATTTGCCGGGATTGCCTTTGAACCTCCATCCTCCTGATCTCTGCTTCCTGAGTAGCTATGATTACAGGCATGAGCCACTGGTGCCTGGCAAAAAAAGACTTTTGTTTTAATTCTTTAAATGGTTGATAGAATTCCCCAATGAAGCTATCTGGTCCAGCACTCTTCTCTTTTGGGGGAGACTTTTGATTACTGATTCAATCTCTGTTTATTATAGTTCAATTGGGATTTTTCTTTTCCTATTTTTTTCAGCTAGTTTTTGTAAGCTCTGTATTCCAAGGAATTTGTCCATTTCTTCTGGGTTAACTACCTCCTTGGCATTTAATTGTTTATTGTATTCTGGTATAATCATTTTTATTTCTGCAAAGTCAGTGGTAATGTCCTTACTTTCATCTAGGATTTTATTTATTTGCCTCTCTCTCTTCTTTTTGTCAGCTCAGCTAAAGCAGTGTCAGTTTTGTTGTTCTTTTCCAAGAAACAACTCTGGTTTCTTTAACTTTTCTACTCTCAATTTTGTTAATTTCCATCCAACTTTATTATTTTCTTCTTTCCTTTTCCTTCCCTTTTTCCCCTAATTCCTTAAGATGTAGTTATGTTATTTGATCCAGCAATACCACTCTTGGGGATATACCCAAAAGACTGTTACTCCAGAGGCACCTGCACATCCATGTTTATTGCGGCACTATTCACAATAGCCAAGTTATGGAAACAGCCAAGATGCCCCAGCACTGACGAATGGATTAAGAAAATGTGGTATCTATACACAATGGAATTTTATGCAGCCATGAAGAAGAATGAAATGTTATCATTTGCTGGTAAATGGATGGAATTGGAGAACATCATTCTGAGTGAGGTTAGCCTGGCTCAAAAAACCAAAAATTGTATGTTCGCCCTCATATGTGGACATTAGATCAAGGGCAAACACAACAATGGGATTGGACTTTGAGCACATGATAAAAGCGAGAGCACACAGGGAGGGGTGAGGATAGGTAAGACACCTCAAAAACTAGCTAGCATTTGTTGCCCTTAACGCAGAGAAACTAAAGCAGATACCTTAAAGCAACTGAGGCCAATAGGAAAAGGGGAACAGGTACTAGAGAAAAGGTTAGATCAAAAGGAATTAACCTAGAAGGTAACACCCACGCACAGGAAATCAATGTGAGTCAATGCCCTGTATAGCTATCCTTATCTCAACCAGCAAAACCCCTTGCTCCTTCCTATTATTGCTTATACTCTCTCTACAACAAAATTAGAAATAAGGGCAAAATAGTTTCTGCTGGGTATTGAGGGGGGGGAGAGGGAGGGGGCGGAGAGGGTGGTAAGGGAGGGGGTGGGGGCAGGGGGGAGAAATGAACCAAGCCTTGTATGCACATATAAATAATAAAGTAAAAATGAAAAAAAAAAGATGTAGTTATGTTAATGACTTCAGGTATACTTTTTTGCTGAAGGCATTATGCCTATAATTTTCCTTCTGAGACCTGCTTTCACAGTACCCTCTAAGTTCTGGCAGGCATGTTTTGTTTTGTTTTTTTACACAACTGTAAGAATTTTCTAATCTCCCCTGTGATTTTGTCTTTGGGCCACTGGTTGCTTAAGAGCATGTTGTTAGAATTTTCCAGTTTTCTTTGTCAGTGATTTCCAACTTCATCCCACTGGGATTGGGGAAGGTGCTTTGCATGCTGTCTATCTTTGTAAATATCATGTGACTTTTCTCTGGCCCCATGTGTGCAGAGGTCTCATGTGTATTGTTTTATTCCATGCCACCATGTCAGCCTTTTTATTCAGATGGAGTCTCAAAAACCTTTTGCCCCTGAACTGTGATCCTCCTGTATCCACCTCCTGAGTAGCTAGAATTACAGGCATGAACCACTGTGCTGAGCTGTTTTAATTTTTAGCTCAGGAATATATTGTCCATTCAAAAAATGGAATTTTCAAAATAAATGAAAATAAAAAGACAGATTCAATCATGTGCCCTAAGACTTACAATAAAGTATTATTAGGGGTTATAAGCATCAGGACAAAAGCATGGAAAAATAATAGATACACCCAAGCTTTAGTGTGAACAAGAGTGAGCACCAGCACGAGATCCAAGCAGGTTTCCCTGGTAAGCAAAGCAAAGCAAAGCAAAGCAAAGCAAAGCAAAGCAAAGCAAAGCAAAGCAAAGCAAAGCAAAGCAAAGCAAAGCAAAGCAAAGCCTTCGATTATTGCCTTCACTAAGGGTTTCTAAAAAGTGGCATCAATGACGTTTTGTGCTGTCTATTCCACTGCCCTGGGGACTGTTTTGTGCATTTTTGGATATATTTGGCATTATTCCTGTGCTCTGCTCACCAGTTACCACTAGTACTTCCACCTGCTGGCTGTGACAACTAAAACTGTCTCCAGAAGTTGTCAGCTGGGGAGGAGGCACCAAAGTCTCCCCCACCCTGCTTCAGCTGGTCTGAGTAGCAAGATTTTCTGAGCGCCATGTTAAACTTTTTGAAAATTTTTTAGTGACTATTTTCCTGGCAACGGATCTATACTTCAGCACGACCTTTTCATTGAGATGTGAAGTACTTTCTACAATACTTTTTCCAGTTTTTAAAATCGTTATGATCCTGACTCAGCCAGAAGGCTATTTTGCAACTCATTTGAGTAACATTCATGATTTATCTGGCTTTTAAGATTTAAATTGCTGAATCATTTGGTGTGATCTTATTGCTCTGAAACTTTTTGTACAGAAGCCAATCTCTATATTCTTAATGATTTAGAGAAATGGAATTAATACGTCCACATACACATTTTCTTTCTTATTCTCTTCTTTCCTCCTTTCTCCTCCCTTTTTTCTTTTCTTTCCAGGACTTTTTTGTTGGGTATTTTTGAGATAGGGATAGGGTCTCACTTTTCTTTTTCTTTTTTTTGGCCCAGGCTGTACTTGAATCTCGATTCTCCTGATTTCTGCCTTCCAAGTAGCTAAGATTATAGGCTTGAGCCACTCGTGCAGGCTTCAGTAGTTTCTTACATATAATTGAGGGGAGGAACACCTCTAACGTATTTGAAATAATCCTGTTGCATCTTTCGTGTTTTACCTTTCCTTATGAGTCTAGAATTAGAAAACCTTTCAAGAGAAGGGCCAGTGATTAATTAGCTCCACTTCTGCCCCAATTCCCCTCTGAGGATCGCAAGGTGTGGCGGGCATGTAGAAATAGAAGGGGCTTTCCCCTCAGCCCTAGCCAGGCTCTTCTTGGAGGGACGCATGTGGTCGTAATCATTTTAAAATGCTCCCTCCGTTTCAGAAGAAAGCGAACCCAACCTGGAACCCCGAGTCCGGCCCACAGATTTCAGCCCATCCATCTGCCCGCGCTTAATGCCCAGGCTGCTTCACCTCCTGGTCTTGCTCCAGAGCAGCTTGCTGTAGTTGACATGATTGATTTCAGTTCCAAAGTTCAGCGAGGGAGAGCGCCTTCCCCAGGAGGACGTCGGTGGTCCATCTGTTTCTAAGCTCAGGCGAAAGGGCTTCGCCGTTGGAAGAACTAGAGGCCAAGCAGGTAAGTGAAGCACCCTTTATAGCGGCGACAGACAAGTTCATTTCGCGCTGGGGGGCTCAAGTATAAAGACAGGACACTGAAATAGTCTTCAGCCTGCAACGCGATCTCAACCCCTGCACCCTCCCTCTTCCGGATGCTTCTCGGTCATGCCACCAGTTTCCCGCGTGCGTGAGCGCGTGCCTACTGCCCAAGTGTGCGTGGGCGTGGGACGCTCCCAGGCGCACTAGCTAAATAGCAAACAGATGCGGGGCGTGCGGACGACGTCCCCGCCCGGGACTCCGCCTGGGAAACAGTTCCAGCCCGTGGTTCACGGGTGGGGAGGCTGGCGGCTGGGCTGTTTTATCCTCTTTGCCGGCAGTGAGTGGGTTTTGCAAGCAGAGCTTCTTGTCCCGGGGCAAGGGTGCGCAGAGCCAGCCCCGGCTCCAGGGCTCCAGGAAGGGAAGTCCCCTCGGCTGCCATATCCGGACCTAAGTGAAGGTTTCGCGTCCCGCTCCTTCCCTCCTCTTCACCGGCGAGACATAGACCTTGCCATGCTCCCTAGCTTTTTGTCACCTTCTCCTCCCGTCCAGCTTCCTAAACTCGGGAAAGTCTCTGGGACTTTGTCTCAAGCTGGTTCTGGCTGTCCAGGCCACTTGCGCCCAGGGCATCTTCAGGAGAAGAATTTGGGGGGGGCCACAGTTTGGCTTCAGATGTTTGTCATGACAGCGTGGTTGCCACTCGAAGGGTCATTTCCAAGCCCGTCCCTAAATGTCGCATTGGATCATCCCACGCTTAGCGTAGGAAGCCCCGGGTGGTGACGAATTGTGTCACTGGTAGCTCATCCCTCTGGTCAAGGAGGCAAGGGTGGAACCTTACCCTTTCCGACGGCACCTGAAACTAATGGGCGCGTCCCAGCCAATCCCGCAATCCTAGTAACCCCGAGGGGGTTGGCTAGATTCTAGTGGGAGTGGCCGCTTCCTCCACGCAGGGACTTGGAGACCTCCTCTGCGCGATGGCTCCCCTCGGAGCCAGGGGGGCGCGCGCCGGATCTGCCTTTTCGCAGCTCCGAGGGGGGGGGCGGGGTGGGTAGGCAGGGACCTGGATCTGATTAGCTGGGGTTGGGGGCGGGGGGAGCCCTGGGCCCAACCGCTTTCTCATGTCCCAGTCCTCCAAGGTTCCTGGAGTAGGAGGGAGAGTATAAGAGAGGACTGGGGTCCCATCTCTGAGCACCCTGTCCGGGGCTGAGCTGCTGCTGTTGCAGTCTCTGGTCCCGGTCTGCGCCCGTCGGCGACCTGCCATGGGGCCCCCTTCCAGCTCTGGCTTCTATGTGAGCCGTACAGTGGCCCTGGTGGTGGCCGCGCTGGCTGCCGCTCTCCTGCTGGCGCTGACCGTGCTCGCCAGCCTGTACGGCCACTGCGAGCGTGTCTCGCCATCAGAGCAGCGTGGCCGGAAGGTCCAGGACGCCGCGTCACCCCCTCCCCACTCACAGGAGGCAACCCCGGACCCCAGAAATGCACAGGAGCCGGCCGTGACCACCACCTGGAAAGACTGGCGACCACCAGGGCCCTGGGACCAGCAGCGCCTGCCGTCATGGCTCGTGCCACTTCACTACGACCTGGAGCTATGGCCCCGGTTGCGACCCGGCCAGCTGTTGGCGCGGTGCTTGAACTTCACCGGCCGGGTGAACATCACCGTGCGCTGCGCGGTGGCCACGGCGCGGGTGCTACTGCACAGCCTCTTCCTGGACCTCGATGCCGCCGAGGTGCACGGTCCCCTGAACTTCGCCACCGCCAACGCCACCGTGGGCCGCGTGCCGGTAGATTCCGTGTGGTTCGTGCTAGACACCGAATACGCGGTGCTGGAGCTCGGCGAGGCCCTGCAGCCCGGGGGCCTCTACGAGCTGCAGCTCCGCTTCTCAGGCCCGGTGCTCCCGGACACCAGGGAGGGGCTCTTCCTCAACGTCTATACAGACCAGGGCGAGCGCAGGTAAGGGCCACTGTGCAGGTGCGCCTGTTCTCTGTTCTTGCCCTTCCGATGGCTTCCTCCGTTTTCCTCCCGGGACTCAGCTAGGAATGATTGCTTCCACGTCTGGGTCTTCCTCCTGCTTGGTTTTCCGCCCTGTTCCTGCCCATCCATTAGTCTCTGTCGTGATCCCCTTGGAGGTCGCTGTCGCCCCAGAAGTTGATCGTTTGCTTCAGAAAGCCCCTTTCCTCTCTAGCCAGGAACCCCTTCACCCCCTGAACAAATCCCTTCCTGCGCAAAGATTGGTGCTGTAACCAACAACCTAAGTAATAGCCAGGAAATGTGGACCATTCCCCGAGGGAGGGATGTGAACCTGCCTGGTGGTGAAACTGAAGGCCGGGTACCACCCGGAATTGTGGTGCGTAGCTATAATCCCAGCTCTGGGGTTGGCATAGGTAGGAGGATCCTGGTCTGAAGCTGGCCCTGGGCAAAAAGCTGGAGACCCTAAGGCAAAAAGGGCTAGGAGCAATGGCTGAAGTGGTGGAGCACCTGCCTATCAAGAGCAAGAGAAGGCCTGTGGTTCTGGGCTCTGAGCTCCTGGTGCTCAGCAATCTCTCTGCCTCTCCATCCCCCCAGCTGTGGTTCTTGCAACAAATATTCTTAGTCAGGCTGTTTGTTCCCAGAACCTTTGGCTTTTACAAAGTCTTTCCAAAACTTTAGGATCACTTTTAATTAATCCCTTCCCACTTCCCACATCGCCCTTTGCTGGCAAAGGATTGGCACTTCTGGGATTCATCTGCTGAAATAAATAAAAGTAATAACGAGGAACCTCCCATCTGAGTTTGCAAGTCTACAATGTCCGTCCATGTGTCCACTGACACTCCTTGGAGATAAAGTCTCCCACACTCAGCATTTCCAGCCCCTACCCAAGAAGGGTTTTCTCCAACGCTTTGAAGCTACAGCACTGAAATCCAGCTAAGGCCTGGGAAATGAAAGATAACAATGAGGGAAATTATCATCTCCATCTCCTCTTCCTTGGTACTGGGGCTTGAACCGGTGCCTTGCCAGGAAGGGGCTCCACCATTTGAGTCACGCCTCCTGCCCTTTTGACCTTAGGGTCTGGAACTTTTTGCTCCAGGCCAGCCTCAGACCCTGATCCTCCTACCTATGCCAAACTCAGAGCTGAGCTAACACGTATGTCACCATTCCCAGCTTGCTAACTTGTTTACTGAGATAGACTCTTGCTAACTTTTTTTTTCCCTTGGCCAGGGCTGGTCTCTGAACTGAGATCCTCCTTTGTCTGCCTCCCAAGTAGCTGAGTTGACAGGCATGAACCACTATGCCCTGCTGGTTTTTTCTTTTTCAAACCAACGATCCTTTTCTTCATTTATAAATTGATGGAGTATTTGGGGTTCACACAACTCATGTTCTTAGCACTTTATTATTAAAGAAAATGCTCTCAGATACTCTGGGGGGAGTGGAATCCCACTAAATCTCCCCTAAATTGTCTCTTGCACTTTTTCAGCAATTTGAAGCCTTTAAAGTGAGTTTAAGGGCTGCCTTACTGGATATGTAACCTGTAAATTTTGTTTTTAAGGACAGTGTTTGGTTTTTCTCTTTTAAATACACATTGATTCTTAAACTTTTCAAATTTACTCCTTAGAACTGTGTACAGCAAAACTTTTGAAATAACTGTAATTCAGACACCCCTCCACCCAGCAAAAAAACTCTGCACATACATATGGGACAGGGTTTTCTACTGGTTAGTAGATCTCCATTGTTCACCCTCTCTTCCTTTCTTAGTGGGTCTGTAACCAAACGAACTGGAAATTGGGAAAGGAAGCCCCTTTCCATTTTTCTACTGCACCAGCCAACTCTAGCTGTTACTAGTAACTGTATTTTCAAGAACAGTAAAACCAATGTAGAGCCAGGCATAGTGCTCACACCTGCAATCCCAGCAACTCAGGAGGCAGAGATCTGGAGGGTTGCAATTTGAGACCAGCCTGGGCAAAAAGTTAGCAAGACTTCTTGTCAACCAACAAGCTGGGGTGATGGTACACACCTGTAGTCTCAGCTGTGTGGGAAATGTAAATAGGGGGATTTGGGTCCAGGCCCACTAGGGCAAAAACATGAGACCCTGTCCAAAACTAACCAAAGAGAAAAAGGGCTGAGAGCATGGCTCCAGAGGTAGAACTCCTGCCTAGCAAGCTGTGAGGCCCTGACTTCAAACTTCAGAACAACAACAACAAAAAAGGCAAAGGTAGAGCCCAGAATTGTGATGTTTCTGAAAAGCTGTTACCAGAAAGTTGTCCCTTGGTCTCTGCTTCTGAAACCACGAGGAAAAGATACCTATAATTAAGTTTTGAGCCAGGAACAGAAAGAAGGCTTGTGGCTGGTGAATTCTGGGAGCCTCAGAGGCCTCATTTGAACATCAGCAGTGTGAATGGAGCCTGTCTCTTTACCTCTGTTGTCTAATTCATGTAATAGAAGTTACCACTGTTGACCTTTAGAGTCTCATGGGGAAGAAAAGAGAAGGGAGGTGCCCAGTGACAGGCATGCAGCTTGGGTGCCTGGTCAGCAGGTCAGGTTGTCATACAGGAGAAGCCTCCTTGTTGTCTAAACATGGAGACTGTCAGGTTCCTGGTGGTGTGAGTCTAACAAGATGCCAGGTGTGAAGAAACCAGGGGCAGGGGTTTTGGGTTATAGGATCTCAGTTTTACAAAATGAAAAGAGTTCTGGACACTGGTTGTGCAACAGTGGGAATGGGCTTCCCGCTACTGAACTGAGTGTTTCAAAATGGTCACTATGGTAAATTTTATGTTCTGTGTATTTTATCAAGTTATGAATTTTATAAGAGCAAAAAAAAAAAACTAATCAGTGAGTTTAGAATGGTGTTCAGAAAACATAAATTTTAAAGGTTTTTTTTTTTGTTGTTTTCATTGAGGTTTGCACTCAGGGCCTCCTGCTTACTGGGCAGGTGCTCTACCACTTGAGCCATGCCCTCAGCCCTAGTACCTCACATATTTTCTCTTTATTTTGAGTTATAGAGTTACCAGAATTGGCAAAGATATTACAGAGAGGCCAATGTAATCTCCATGCAGTTCCCCCAGTGGTTATATTCTACATAACTATAGCACAGTTATCAAGAGTGGGATTTGTGACACTGGTAGTCCAAGTGTATTTAGTTTCATCTCATTTGTTACATGGGTAGACCATCAAGATACAGCACTAGCTGTGACCCACTCCTATAATCCCATCATCTTCGATGCTGAGGAAGGAGGATGGAGAGTTCATGGTCAGCTTAGGCTACATGGTGAGACCCTGTCTCAAAAAACAAAAAAGGAGTCAAGCACTGTTTCATCACCTTGGGGATAGGCCTCTTTCTTTCCCCCATTTTTACCCTCTCTTCTTCCCCAACCTCCCCTCGCTCTTCCCCCTCATTCTTCCTCCATCTTTACAATTTTGTTTTTTGATAATGCTCTATAATGGAATCATGTTGTGTGACACCTTTTCTCAGCATTATGACCTCTGGATCCATCAAGTTGTGTATGTCAATAATTTGAAACTTCTAATTTGTGGAGTGGGTATTCCATGGTATGGATGGAGCACAGCTTGAGCCATTCGCCTATGGGGTCTTTTAAATTTTTTATTAGCTCATGTACTAATTGTACTTTTTGATATTTCTATATAAACATAGAATGCACTTCGATCATCATATTTACACACACTATCACTCTTGTCACCCCCCTTTTTAAACAAATTTTAATGGGTTTCATAATGCATGATGTCTTCTATCTGTTCACTACACTCACCCTCTCCTCTCCTTCTAGTTTCTTCTTCCAACACTCCACTTTGACAATGTTATGTTATTTTTTATGTCTAGATTCCACATATGTGTAAAACCATGCGATGTTTGTCTTTCTGAGCTTGGTTTGTCTCGTTCAACACCATGATCTCCTGTTCCATCCATTTTCTTGCAAACAACATAACTTCATTGTTTTTGTATAGCTGAGTAATATTCCATTGTGTATGTATACCACGTTTTCTTTATCCATTTATCTGTTGATGGGCTGCTAGGCTGATTCCACAGGTTGGCTATTGTGAACAGTGTTGCTATACACATGGCTGTGCAGGTGTCTCTACTGTACGCAGATTTACGTTCCTTTAGATATATGCCCAGGACTGGTCCAGCAGGGTAATATTGTAGTTCTGTTGTTAGTTTTTGAGGATCTTCCATATTGATTTCCAGAGTGGCTGCACTAATTTACATTCCTACTAATGATGTGTCAGGGTTCCTTTGTGACACTACTTTCTGGCCTTTTAGTATTTTATTTATCTATAATTTTTTATTTATTTAATTATTTTATTTATGTATTTATTTATTTCAGCAGTGCTGGGGATTGAATCCAGGGCTTTGCATACACTAGTCAAATGCTCTACCACTGACCTACACCTCCAGCTGGAGGGATATTTTGATTGTTACCAGTTTTTGTCTGATAGAAATACAGCTTTGATGAATAATTTGTACAGGTTTTTGTGAACATCAGGTTTTATTTCTCTGAGATAAATGCCCATAAGTATAATTTCTGGGCTGTATGATAATTGCACATTTAGTTTTAAAGAAAGTAGCACCAGCAATGTCTGAGGGATAGAGTTTCTCTGCAGCCTGGCCACTATTTCATATTGTGACTACTTTTTATTTCAGTTGTCCTGGTAGATATATGGACATCTCATTGTAGTTTTAATTTTCATTTCTGTAACAGCTAAGGATAATTAACATCTTTCCATGTTCTTACTCACCTTCTGCATGTCATGTTTAGTGAATTGTATCTTTATATCTTTTATAATTGAGTTGAATTTTTCATTGTTGAATGTTGGGAGTTCTCTATATATCCTAGATCTGAGTCCATTCTTCCTTCCTGTCCAGGGATTTGAACTCAGTTCCTTGCCCTTGCTAGGTAAGTGCTCTACCACTTGAGCCATGCCTCTAGCCAGTTGATTTTTATTTCTTTTCTTTGCCCTAT